CTTTTTTCTTCAATAACAAATTACACATTATATATAATGTTAATTTTTTTTTTTTTATGTATAATAAATCGCATTAGATAAATCCTATGCGACAGGCTCGACTCAAAAGACATTGAGGGGGGATCGACACCAGATCATCTATGTGAACGTCCATCCTTAAAACAAGTTGAGCTATCCTGAAAGACAATGTCCTCAATTTAATAGTCTTTTTCCTTTTTTTATATTTTTAAATCGCTTAGGGAAAATTTTGATTTGGCTAATGTTTAAACTCTAGAAAGAAAGAAAATGCTCTTGTCTAAGAAGAATACCAGTAAAGAAAGCCCGGGACAAAGTTATATTATTGTTATACATTACAGGTTGTTAAAAAGTTAGTAAAGACTGTTATACTATATTTTGCTCGTAAGTGATCTAATATAGAAACTTATTTGTTATTTCTCTTTTTAATTTCAATTTCAATATCAAATAAATGTAGATTTATGTAAAAATAATAGAGTAGAAGTAACAACAGGGGTGTCAATGGGATGGTTCGATCGGCTATTTTAAAAAAATAATACCATTCCAATTTTTTTGACTATTTTATAATGTATAATTAAAATTAAATTTCTTTAAACCATCCTAATCCAATTCATGTGACACAACCAGTACAAAAATTAGTGTCCCAAAAAGAATAATTTTAGCTATATATTTTTTATTTATATAGTGATATTTTTTTTCATTTTTCAAGGAAATGCTTATATAATTTTACAATGGGTATTGAACCTACAAAGTAATTAATGAATTCCAGCCTTTCTAAACATGCGTTTTTGGGATATATTTTGGAAAAAAGATTGAACTATTTTGAGAAAATAAAATATTTTGATACACAAAAATTATGAAAATTATTATTCTTTCCGTTTTAATTATTTGTCTTTTTTTTTTAAAAAAAATGATAACTCTTTAATTTTATTTTTCTACCTTAAAATCACAAGATTCAAAAGACATTTTTGTATATTCTTCAATTTTTTAGTTTATGACTATAAAATTTAAAAAATATTTTTTATCTTCTCAAATTCTGAATCAAGCCAAAATCAAATAAATAAATTAAAATGAAGAAGATATAAGTAAAAGGAAAGTGCTAAATGACCAGAATTATGTGGCCATAATTTGGCCAGAATTGTAAAAAGACTAATTTAACCTTGTTTCCTTCCAAATTTAAGTCAAATATTTGTTACTACTATTTCCTAAACTTCTAAAAATACGTATGAACAATAATTATTATGTTTAATGAGTTAGAATTATTATTAATTGTGTGAAGGAAATTATTCAATGGACATTATAATTTGGGATCCATTATAATCTAACTTCACCTTCTTTTAATTCTTCCTAATTCACTCTTTCTTTGTTCCTTTTTCTTCATCTTTTTTGTCATCATTTCTCTTTTCTTTTTCATTACATGTAAAATTAAATTATACAAATTCTAATTCCATAAGAGATTTTTGGATACAGTTTATCAATGATTTTCTAGTCTTGAACTTGTAAAATAAGTTAACATTTATTTATTTCTATTATATACAAATCATCCAATTATAAAATCAAGCACACAAAAAAATATATTTGTTAATATCTAACTTCATAACACAAAATTTGTTGGGGATAATATTGCATTTGTTTTCTTTATTTTAATTTCAATATAGTATATTTAATACACTATCATTAATATTAAAAAAATAATATGATTTGATTATTTTTTCTCTTCACTAATATACTGATTTGAATATTCTATTTCATAATCATCTTTTAGAAAATGAATAAAATATTATTTTTTTTATGATAAACTTTAAAGATTATTCTTTATAGATAATAACAAATATTTTTTTAATAAAGTTTGTACTTTAATGTGTTAAATATAGAAAGATAAGTTTCATGTGATAAATTTAATAGTTAGATGAATTTTATGTATTAAAAAATAAGAAAGTAATTTTTCGTGTTATAATATTTTTTGATATTCTATAGTGAAAATATGACATAATGCTATAAATAAGTTAATTACATTTAAGGTAATTTTAGAAACTTCCTTTAATGTGATACTTCTCACAAAGTTCAGTAATATATTTGATACTTCTCACATGTGATTTAAAAAAAAACCTTTTTATTTCAATGATTAATTTCATTCTTAAACATCTTATTTGTGGATTTATTTGTTTATCATTATCTGAATATTTTTTTCAGTTAATAAAAATAATTTTTTTTTGTGTATATTTTTTTTGTGTATGTGTATAGTTCATTTGATTTATTTTAAAAAAAAATATTCTTCAGTTAATAAAAAAAATTGTACGATTTAGTTAAAAAATATTTTTGAATTGTACCTTAAAAAAATGTTCATAAGGTACCAATGCATACCTTTGAAAAGTTATTTTTTCGCTTAAAATAAATCTCTTTATTGAAGAAGACAATTAAATTTCACATTAATAATAACTACAAATGACTATCTTGTCTACTTAAGATTATACTTAATTATTTTGTAATACAAATTTAGTAAAATATAGTAATTAAGCGTAGATTCAAAAAAATTTAGTTGAATTTTTCTTTAAATATAATCAACTAAATTGATTAGTCTATATATATAATGGATGTTTTTCAAGAGAAAAAATAATGTTATTTTGGAAATTAGATGTTTCTAAAATATAATTGATGATAAGACATTTATAACTATGCCATGAATAACACATTAATTATGGCCAAAAAATGTCCAAAAATAAACTAATTTATAGTGTAAACATGTCCTTTTACAATTCTGGCCAAAGTGATTTTCCCATTAGGATATACATTTTTTAAAAATTATTTTCATTTAATATAGAATTTTCTACCGAAGGAGACAATTAAAATACGTGTTGATAATATACATAAAAATATGTTTTTAAATATAATTTGAAAAATATTTCAATAACGATAATCAAAACTCAAAATACTTTAGAATTGATAAAAATCAACACATTATAGAACTACATAATTTAATTTTTTAAAACATAATAATTAAATATGTACTTTAATTTTTTAAATATGTAGTTTTAAATACGTAATTTTAATTTTTAAAACATAATATTTAAATATGTAGTTTAATTTTTTAAAACATAATAATTAACAAATATCAAAACTACAACATTAATGTGTAACTATCTTGGGTTGTTGTGAAATAGGATCGACACTTATGAACCATATGATTTTTAGTATTTCTTTATTGTGTCAATATCTACTGATTCTAAAGTATTTTGAATTTGACTGTTATTAGTGAACTATTTTACATTATATTTTAAGAATTATTTAAAATTTGAATTTAAATAATTATTTAAATAGGTAATTTAAATTTATTCATATAATAAATACAATAAAATTACTTAATTTAAAAATTGTTAATCAGTTTTTAAAAAAATATTAATTTGAGAGCAAAAATAAAATATTGTGACAACAACTATGTATACTTAATATTTTAACATATCATTTAATAACAAACATTTTTTCTTATAAAACAACAAATAATACTAATAAAGAAAAATATATATGTGATGAAACTTTGATCTAGTTCATGTTTAACAAATTTGTGTTGTCATTATTATCAGAAACTATGAAGATGTTTCTTTTTTTTTAATAAAAGTTTATTTTGAACTCATAAAGAACTTTCTATATCCTTTCCTAGTTATTATAATGTTTCAATGAAGAACCATCAACATTTTTTTTCAAAAAATATTTGTATACGTCTCTAGTACTAAAATAAATAAATATTAATTTTAATGAGTCTTTATTTGTGTATGATGTGATTCATATAATGGAGAAAACATGATGGAAATTTTAGTTTTCTTCATATTTCGTTCACATACATTTTAAGTATAATCGGATAAAATATATTTTTATCATTTAACTTTTTTCTAGAAAATCCATGCGTAACAGCAACTCCTTTAAATAAATAAGAGTAATTGTTTTGCCAACTTGGTGAATTTCAGATTTTTTATTTTCAGTATTATAGATATAAATTTTTAATATTTAAATTTAAATATAATTTATCTTTTCACGATTATTAATTATAAACTAAAATAGATAGCCTACACTTTACTCCTCTTTTGTACTTTTTAATTTTTTTTTTATCATTAAGAAATAAGAAATGAAAGATAAATAAACAAAAAAGAAAAAGTAGAAAGGAGGAAATTTAGAAATTGAAAAAATTATAGTATATTTTTTCTTTTACTACTACTGCCATATATATATTTTTTTTACATCTTGAAAATTTCTAGTAAGAAGAGTGGGTGAGACTTATGCTTTCTTTAGTTAACTTTATGGTTTCTTTCTCATGTTTAATTATGAAATCATCAATAATTAATCTCATTAATCATTTTCAATGTATTGGAAACATAATTGAAGAATATATTCAATATTTAAGTTAAAAGGAAAATATGTCAAAAAAATAAACTAGTTTATAGTGTAAATATATCCTTTTACCATTCTGGCCAAATTATGGCCAAAAGAATTTTTCCTTTTAAGTAAAGAAAAAAAAACTCATTATATGAGTATTAAGATTAGTATTTCAAAAGATTTACTATTTGTCATCAAAGTACCAACAAAGAGAAGTAGATGTGGTTATATCACCAATCTCAATATGAGAAAGTTGGCATGTGAAATGAAAATATCCAATGGGGCCCACGATAATCATAATGACATGAAGTTGGTCTGTGTAAGAGAAAAATGTTAAATTGGCCAGAGGACCAAATACTACAGTAAAACAGTTTTTGGGCCAATAGTATGACATCACTTCTATAATAATAAGAGAACTCTCTCTTAATGAATTTCGACTTCTCATTCTACTTGTCTGAGTTAAAGGCGCACTCGTAATTGATTAAAAGAAAAGAGTAACTTTTAAATAGAAAAAAGAAAGAAAAAAAAGAGAGTCCTGGATTTTAAATTTTGTCCATCAGTCTTAAAAAACCTATAAAGGGCGGCGATTGAACTGGTTGAAAGTTGAATACGCAAAATCAAAGTATTGTTGATGATTAATGGCTGATTCTAGATTAGCGATCCTTAGTCGACACTTCACTTCAGCAGCAGCAGATTGTAAGGTACCACCGCTGAACTCTGTTACTATGCAGGTTTGAGATTCTGTAATAAATACTATTGTAATTACAAAATCTGTGTAAAAAAGAATGTGAGGTTTATGCTGAATTATTGATACGTTCATCCTTTATACTTTATAGGCTGGCTCTGGCTCTTTTGGTCAAAATTTGGGGTGGATTAAGATATCCCCGGAGGTTTCAGAAGCATTAAAACATGGAACCCCCATTGTTGCATTGGAATCCACTATAATATCTCATGGTACCACTACTTTCTTCAATTCTTCTTCTCTATCTCTAAATCATCTACTAGTCTACTGGTAAGGTAACACTACAACTTGCATAAATTCTTATTTTCAACTCGAAAACACTAGTTTCAACCTCTGACAAGAGGGGCTAACTGCCTTGACGACCCAATGTCTTCATTCACTTTTCTTAATATTTACCAAATTTAATGGTTTGAAAGCTGTGGGTCTGCTGAACCGGCTGTTTTTGCACTAGGTCTTCCCCTGATTTCCGTTCTTCCTTTCCATACCCCGCCCTCCCAAATTAAATAAGATGAAGACTTCTGCTTTACATTTATACAGCGGAAATAACATGTTACTTGAATGATCAATGTGTTACCTCATCAATCATCCACACTTATTCTGCATCAAACCTACTCATAGAGACTTTGCCACAACTCACTTAAGTTGTTCGCGTTACTTTAACCTTACATGTATTAAGTTAGTTAGCCTTAAGGAGCTGAAATTACTTTCTCATTTTTGTTCTACTCATACTAGTTTTAACGATGCTTTTTTTTTTTGCTGTTCCTAGGAATGCCGTATCCTCAGAATTTCGAGACAGCTAAGGAGTTGGAGGTCATTGTGAGGGAGAATGGAGCTGTACCTGCCACTATCGCTATTCTGGATGGCATACCATGCATAGGTGTTTATTTGAGACTTCATTTTTTTTTTCTGCATCCCATTCTTTTCTTATTTCTTTGTTGGGGGTACTTTGACACGAAAGTGGGGTTGATTTCTTGAGTTCATCACACACCTCTCCTGAACTTATAGTGTCCAAAGAATTCATGACACTCTACTTGTGCTCTATTATGAGTAATCTGCAATAACCATCAACTTCTTTGTTCTTGGCTTCTTAATATGCATCTTAACTATCAATCTTAACTATCAATAGATACCAAGTTGCCTACATGTTATCTGCTTATATATTTACCTCATACTCATGCTAACTTTCGACTTTTGGCAGCTCAATTAAGTTGATGAGTGCTTTACCTCTTTCATCTATATCTTTCTCTTATGAAAGAAGTGGAACTTTTTTAACTAAGTACTAGCGTTTCCTCGAAATATACACTGCTGCAGTAAAGTACATTGACTTCTATGCTCAATCATATTCCTGCACTGGCATATGGCTGATGCGTATTCCATGAGTATCTGACAGTTGTCTGAAAGTTTTGACTTTCCAATTCACTTGGACAGTTTATGTGAGTGATCGATGTGAAAATGAGAAATGGAGTGAGAGTTTTTTGAAATGGAATGTGAAGATGAGAAATTTGGTGTGGAAAGTAACCTTTTTGAGAGCATCTATAATAGCTTCTCTGCTGTGAGCCATTTCCATCTTGTACTTAATTAATTCCAGAACATCATGTTCTACAGCACTTTGAATCTTTGATAAATTATTTGTTAAACTTACACTTTGTGAGGAATTCTGAAAAATGAGAACATGAGTCCAGAATATTGCAATCATTACTACAGAAGTCTGTGAATTCTGAAATGATAAAACTGAAAATACTTGCATGACCTTAGCTTATTTCTGAGTTGCCATACTATGTTAACTTTCTTTTAACTAGGGAATCATAGTAGCATGTAAAATGTTTTAACCATGAATTATATTCTCTATGGTAGGCTTGACTACAGAAGAACTAGAGATTCTAGCACGTCTTGGTAGCAAAGCTCGGAAAACTGCTAGTAGAGACATTGCACTTGTTGTAAGTCAATTGCAAATTGCGCTACTTAATCTGAGCAACTATATCTTGTTTTCCTTCATCATATTTGTTAAAGATATTTGTTTTGACTGCTGAAACTTAAATTTCACTAGCTCGAGGAATATATATATATATATATATGTACATGTGTATATCTTGAGATGTGACATGAAAAAGCTTCATGGGCCTGGAGAAAATAGCATGGCACAGATAGCTTGTTTTGTAATGTATGCTGGCAGAATTATGTGTGTCTTGATGATGACTACATAAGTTCACAAAGATACTTCACCACAGCTTGCACTATCTTATATTTATTTGTTTTACACTCCCTTGTTACAGTTCCAAATATTTCTATGAAGATAGTTTCTATTTTGTAGCAAGATGTGCTTATTTATCGATTATTCCTCCCTTTACCACATTTTTAAGTATCTTGAGGGAGCGTGACTTTTAAATTTAAAAATAAGGTTTACTTTTAAAACCTTTTTAGTTCTTTGTTCTTTTCCAAAAACATACTAAAGATGATGAAAAAGCTCTTTGCTCAAACAACTTGAGATGTCGCACTTGTTATATAGTGCGAATCATGTATTATCAGCCTTCACATTGAAAGAGAACTGATCATTCGGTTATGTGGTTTTGTCTTGAAGGCATCAAATCCAAAAGCCTGGCTTTTTTTCGCCATCCACAAGAATTTCCTTCTCTTCTTAGACATGCTCTCCCAACCATGCTAACCTCCACTTACGACAAGATTGCTTCAATTCTTATGAAGTACTTTTCTTCAAGATTTCATTAATAAAGCCTTTTCCTTCAAACTTGCAAGCCTTTCAATATAAGTCCACCCACATACAAGCCTAATCCTCTACCAAAAACTTCTCTTGTCATATGCCTACAAGGAATTTATCAGTAGCTAATCACAATAATGAACATAATTATCATCACAATTTATGAACAACCTTAATGAATCTCATTTAACTTCCATCGTTGATGGGGTTTATAATTGTGAGAAATATATGAGAAGAATATTATTGAATTGTTGCTGTTTACATTATTTCATTGAGACCCTATTTATAGACCCTAGAATACAATCCTTTACCAAGTAGGATACTATTTAGTATTCCTATTTCTATTTCTATTCCTATTCCTATTCTAATAGGATTGTATAAACTTATTCCTATTCTAATAGGATTGTATAAACCTATTCCTATTCTAACACTCCCCCTCAAGCTAGTGCATACAATTCATGTACCTAACTTGTTACAAATGTAATTAACACGAGGACCGATGAGGGGCTTGGTGAGATATCTGCAAGTTGATCACTCGACTTCACAAATTTGACAATCAATCTCAATGGGCTTGGTCTTCTCATGAAATACTGAATTTGATGCATAATGCTGATAAAACAGAGAGTGATAAAATTACAGTGTTGAACTTCCCAAACCAAGCTTGCAAAGACTGTTTCAGACCATAGAGTGACTTACGTAATCAACATACAAGGCTACTAAACTCCTCCTGAGCAACAAAATTAGGTGGTTGCTCCATATAGACTTCTTCACAATGCAACGGTCGCCGAAAGTGCTCAAAATCTAGTATAAAGTGTATGGATCATGTTGGAATCAATAGACGTGTCAATATTTAACAAGAAAGTCACCGAAAAACTGGCCGGAACATGCTCATATGCCGGAGTATTAGATTTGATGGATAAAAGTGGTCACAATCTAAGAAATAAAATTATATGGGTAGGGTCGGAATTATGTCACGACCCAACTAGAAAATAGAAATTATATAGGATAGTTCGAATTGATGGAACGACCTCCATTGAAAAAGAGAAATAATATGGGTAGGGTCGGAATGATGACACGACCCTACTGAAAAAAGAAAATTATATGGGTAGGGTTGGAATGATGGCACAACCCTACGCAAATCAGATTTGAGGAGTCACCGAAAAGACGAATGGAACTATGCAAATCAAATCTGAGGAGTCACTGAAAAGACACATGATACTATGCAACTCAGATATGAGAAAATAGTTCGGAAAAATCCACGATACTACACAAATTAAATATGAAAAGTAGTCCGGAGAGATGCACGGTGCTACGCAAATCAGATATGCAAAAAAGGTAGTCACCGGAAGGATGACACGGTGCTACAAAAATTATATATGAAAAAGTAGTCACTGGAATGATGGCACAGTGCTACACAAATTAAATATGACAAAGTAGTCACCGGAAAGATGGCACGGTGCTACGAGTTAGATATAAGAAAGTAGTCACCGGAATGATGGCACGGTGCTTACATAAATCAAATATGAGAAAATAGTCACCGAAAAGATACACGGTGACCCAACTTTTGCTAACATAATTGTTGGCCAGACGGGTGGCATATATGAGTAATAGCCGCCCGCCAGCAGCGGAAACACTTTGATTGTTTACTAAGATCGTAGAGGATCTGATACCATGTGAGAAATATATGAGAAGAATATTATTGAATTGTTGCTGTTTACATTATTACATTGAGACCCTATTTATAGACCCTAGAATACAATCCTTTACCAAGTAGGATACTATTTAGTATTCCTATTCCTATTCTAATAGGATTGTATAAACTTATTCCTATTCTAATAGGATTGTTAAACTTATTCCTATTCTAATAGGATTGTATAAACCTATTCCTATTCTAACAATAATATTCGTGGTTTCTTTTAAAGAGTGAAGGCATAATAGTGTTGATATTTTAATTGGAGTGGAATGTAATGGGCATTACTGTCACTAAAAATTATAATTAGTAGAGTAGGAATAACCAAGAACACATGGGGATGCCACACACTTCCTTGAATTTTCACTATTGAAGTCTATTATTAAGCATCAAAGGGGATCCAGCGGTCAATGCAGTGTGATGAAAATCATGGGAGATACGGGTTCAAAACTCAATCAGGCTTGACTTCATCCCATCTGCACAAGATTTAGTGGGAGAGTCTCTCGGTATCATATTGGTGGGAGCTAGCAAGTACCTAGTAATATAATCGAGGTGTACATAATCTGGCCCGAACACCACTATTTATTAAAATAAAAAAATATTCAGTCTTTCATTATTTTCCTGTATTCAACATGCCTACATAACTGTCTGACTGCACTAGCTTGTAGGTGAGGTATAACAATAGGAGTGGAAGTGAACTCAGAAGAAGAGACCTTAGACAACCCAGAGATCATATTGGATTTTGTGTGCTTCATCCAAACGTTTTAGTTACTATCAAAGAGATAATTATCCACTCGGTTCATGACTTCTCCACATCTGATTGGGTCAGAGTTCAGAAATATTTTTTATTCTTCTTTGTAGAAAAAACAAGGCGTATCTGGTTTCTCATTTGCTGTTGTGAAAGACTGTTTTCACATTACCTATGCAAATGTTCTATTTTCTTTTGGTTATTTTTGTTGTTTTCTTGCGTATCTGTTAAAAGGTAACCTTTTGCGCTTAAATAACAGTTTTTGACGTGCAATCTTCTGGACATTGTTATATTTGGTTCTACCTTGTGTCTCTGACTGGCATCTGCTGCTATTTCACGTTTTAAGTTATAGAAGCTAGGTATATGCTTCATCTTCAAGTTTTCCCTTTCAAAAAGTTCGGAGCATATGTTTGGGTATCTGCCTGGATCCTACCAAATATTCTTGGGAAGCCGCCACAGCTGTCAAATTAAGTGTTTTCTAAGCTATTGTTTGTATTTTTTCCCCTAGATGGCAGGCAGGGAGAATGGGGCAACTACTGTCTCTGCAACAATGTATCTTGCTTCGAAGGTGATGACTGCATCCTACAGGATTTTTCTTGTAACTTTCTTGTTTTTTCTGTATTTTATTTGTATAATTTTGTAGAAAAATCTTCTGCATTTTGTAGGTGGGTATTCCAGTATTTGTCACTGGCGGTATTGGAGGAGTACATAGGCATGGAGAGAACAGTAAGTGAATCAACACTTGTATATGTGCTTTGGTACTTTAAAATCTATGGTGATGCTAGAATGATGATTTTGCTTGGTAGCATCTGATTTTTAAATTAGAACGATAGCTTGCCGAATCTCTTTGAGCATTTTGTGACAATAGTTGGCAAACAAATATTTAATTCATAAATAAAATCAAGAATGGAGTTATGGAGGACAAGATGCACGTGAAGGACATTTTCATGTAGAGACTGATAAGTGATCAGCGGTATCATCAATATGAATTAAGCAGGACACTAAACTAGACATTTTCATGTAGACTGGTAAGTGATCAGCGGTATCATCAATATGAATTAAGAAGGAATGACACTAAACTAGGGTGTCCAACTCCAACCTGTTACGAGGAGCAATATGGAGTTTCTTCTGATGATGATTATTTTACTGATTAGTTCCAAATATTGGCTCAATAATATTTTTCAACTTCGGTAAATGGCATAAGACCTGGTTAATATGAGATGCTTAGAGTGTCCATCACTATGGACTGTTTGCTCCTTAAATGGTCTTGGTTGATCCATGCCTTATGAGCTAGCTTTTAAGGTTGAGTGAGAATCAACATCCATTTTCTTAACATGATATCAGCGTTGGTGCCATCTCTATTCTTAGTTTACCTGTTGTCCATGGTCCAAATTTCCAGACATCAGTGTGCAGAGGAGGTGTGTAATAGTGTCCCACACAGATTGAGGGAATGAGTTATTATCTCCGTACAGGGTCTTGACAATTTTCACCGCATAAGCTAGCTTTTGAGGCTGTTAGACCCAATGTCATTTTGTTAATCTTATTCATTTCTCATGTGACTTTATTTCTCACATGGTATTAAAGTTAGACCCACCCCTATTCTTGGTTTATCCAATGTCGGCCCCATATTATGCTGTCCACGCTTCAGATGTCCAGGACGTGTAGGGAGTTAGAGCGTCCGACATTGGTTGAGGTGTCACCTTATATTGTCTTGGATAGAACTCACCTCAAGAGTTAGCCCCATGGTCCATTTCTTAACAAGGTGCATTATTAGGCTGCTTGCCTGCTTCTAATAAACTCGCGCTCTACATGGTTTTCATTTGACATTTAGAGCATCTCTCAAGCCTTTTTGTTTCAAGGTAGCAAACTTTTCGTAATGAAATAAGCAACTTCCTTATCTTTCAACTTTTCTTCTCTTATTTGCATTTATTTCTTATTTATTATGTTTGAGTACAGCAATGGATGTTTCTTCTGATCTTACTGAGCTTGGAAATACTCCTGTGGCTGTGATCTCTGCTGGTATAAAATCGATACTAGATATTCCTCGAACACTTGAATATTTGGTTTGTACCAACTTTGGATTTAACTTCAGATCTCTAATATATGATAATGGAGGACTTGGAAATTTAACTCCTTCCTTTCCTATCTTGACCTACAGGAAACTCAAAGAGTTACTGTTGCAGCTTATAGAACCGATGAGTTCCCTGCTTTCTTCACACAAACCAGTGGCTGCAAGGTTCATATTTTGTCATTAATCCTATCATATGATTCCTATGATTAACTCCTGTTATATGTTTCAAACAAAGCGGACTATTAAAACAGTCATGGAAACCCTTCCAAAATATGAAAACCAGTCCAACTTATAGTTTCTTATGTAGTATGCCATCTTTTCGTTTTATGTCACTTTTATGGTGTGTTCCAAAAAGAATAACACATTTCTATATTTGGTAACTCTTTAATTTTATGCCTCTCATTTTACCCTAATGACATACTCTAATAGCTGTAAGAATGTCATTGCATATTTAAGACCACAAGTTTTAAGACTGCCTTCCGTATGGTATATTATATATTCAGTTTATATGTCAAAAGTCTTCCTTTCTTTCTCAAACACCTGGTGAACACCGCTTTATAAAATGAAATGGAGGGAGTAGATTTCTCTACTGAACCGTGAAAGAGTGAGGTATAGGAAAAAGGGGTCAAACGTTGTTACATGCTGAAATATGCTGCTCGTCAACACCAAAAACTTATATGGTCAAAATGTGGATTCTTCTCTTCTTTTAATTATTTTTATTCCTTCATTATTGGGAATGGTGGGGTGGTTCAGGAGAAAATGATAGGGTAGGTGAATAGATTACTTTTCTTTAGGAATGTATGGATAACTTGTCATATAATTTCAGTTAACACGAGATCATATTTTTCTTTATTATGTTTATAATGCACATTATATCATGTTTTCTAATTAGTTATCTTTGCCATAAAACTTAGGCACCTGCTCGAGTAGAATCGCCAGAACATTGCGCTCGAGTTATTGGCAAGGAACTCCTATACCTATTTCATCCTTCATTCATTTACTCGTTAAATATAGCGTATTTACTTCTATTCCCTAACTTTGACTGTAGATGCGAACATAAGACTTGAGCAGAAGAGTGGAATCTTGATAGCAGTCCCCATTCCAAGAGAGCATTCTGCTTCTGGAAGTTTGATTGAGTCGGCAATACAGCAAGCTCTCCAAGAAGCACGGTAAGTATTCTGCTGTATCCTCTTATTTGCGGAAGTACATGGTTCTTTGCACCTCATTACCTATTTCCACATACTAATGTTGGGATGTAATTGCTAACTCAGAGAGAAGAAGATTACTGGCAATGCTGAAACTCCGTTCTTGCTTGCAAGAGTCAATGAACTTACTGGTGGAGCATCTCTGGCTTCAAGTATCCCTTAACTGTTATTACTATACGATGTTTAGTTTGCAGATCATTCGTTAAAATCTTGATAGAGAAAGAGGAATGTCACAATAAATTATTATCAATCATTTCCACAACGCCACCTGAATTAGATCATGGCCTTCAGTTTAGTCCATCCTTTTAGTTTCCTTAATGAAGTTTCAGACATTGCTCTCGTGAAAAATAATGCCAGTATCGGTGCTAAAATTGCTGTTTCGCTTGCCCAGCTTCAAAAACGTAGTTACAACAGGTTGGTGCACTCAATCTGTTACCATTCTTTTGGTTACAACCTCAACTGGTTTCAAATTCGGTGACATGCTAAGAAAAACCGGTGTTTTTACTTTTCAGGTTGTAATTCTCTTATATTCGCGCTCCTTCGTATCAACTCAGCTAAGCATTTTAAGCTCGTTGAGTCTGAAGGAAGCAGCGTCTTTGACATATGAAGCAGAAAGAGTGTTACTTATGGAAGTATGCAACCAAACAAAAAGTTAATGCAACATCTTTCCTTTATAATCTAGAATTCTAGTGATGTGAATTACTCCCTCCGTTCCCTTAAGATATTAGGTAAGTTTATTATTGTACCATTATTTAGTGTTTTCTTGAAGTCAAGTTTTCAATAAATGAACATAAATTAATTTATTTTGATTAATTAAATTGGCCAATGAACATGAGTTAAATCATTTTGTTTTTTTGTGTGGTCAAATTCATACTTTCAAGGCTAATAACTCTCAAGGTAAAATAGAAAGATAATGTTGTTTATGTATTGATTTTGTGAAATGACAAGTACTCCCCCTGTCTATTTTTAATTGTCATGTTGCGTTTTTCGAAAGTCAATTTGACTAACTTTGGGATCTCAGACCAATCACAACAACATAAAAATTATCCAAACCACAACAACCAAGTACATGAAAAAATTCACTATATCACTCAATGATTATCAATCACTATTAAGAGTCTATCTATCATATAAAATAAAGCAAAACCTACCTCCACTGAATAATCGAAGTCAAGCAAGCTCCTTCTCCAATACTTTTCCTTTCCTCAATGTCTCTGAATGTTTCCAATCTATGCAGTATACAATATCCATAAGCAAACGAGTTCGTAGACACCCATATTACTATATATTTAGCCTAGACTCAAAAACTCACCCAAATCTATCATCAAATTCTTAAATTTTGATACCAACTAATAATGAAGTCCCATATGTTCCTATTTTTTCAAGCCTAAAGTTAAGTCTTAATTCTTCCAAATAATATAACTCTAATGAATTTATAATACAATAAACCTAATATTTAATTACATATTTCAATATATTAAAACTCAATTTATAATATGATGACAACGTAATAAAATTCAAGATTAAAGCTACTGGTTTCGAAAATCAGTGGCAAAAACTCTAACCCAAATTTATCATATACTATAAGCCAAATTTATCATATCATCAATTAGTAATTGGATAACCATTAATCCATCAACCAATTCATTATCTCCTTCACTTTCTCAAAATCCAAACTGCCAGCACATCCGCTAACACCACTTTCAATTCTCATCTAACCATGAAATATTATTGTATAATATTTAACCCCCTACTATTAAATAAGGACATTGAAGATTCAAAGCAATACTTCGATGTCAGTCTTTCTTGTTAAACGGCGCATGTAAAGTTTCTCGCCTACTTGTCTTTCTTCTTTCTTTTACAAATTATTTCTTTACCCTAATTATTATACATGACTAACTATAAAAGTGGTAAAAGCGGTCCACTATTAATTTTAATGTTATTTTCTTTAACCACCAACTAAATTAATTATTAAAATTACCCCATTAGTTATCTTTCGTGCATATCAGCCTCACTCTCCCAAGTGGACTCTTCAACCACCGATTCTTTCACTGAACCTTGATAGATGCAATCTCCTCTGACCTCAACTTGTGGACCTCCCTATCTAGAATAGCTACAGGTTCCTCCTCATAAGACAGATTCTCATCAAGCAGGACTGAATCCCAACGAATAATGTAGTTTCCATCACCATAATATTTTTTTAGCATAGACACATGAAATATCGGGTGCACTCCTGACAACCTTGGAGGCTAGGCCAATTCATAGGCCACCTCCCCCATACGGTTAAGAACTTCAAATGGCCCAATATACCTCGAACCAAGCTTACCTCGCTTACCAAACCGTATCACACCCTTCATGGGTGAAACCTTCAGCAAGACTTGCTCACCCTCCATAAACTCCAAGTCCCTGACCTTCCGATCTGCATACTCCCTCTGCCTGCTCTGAGCTGCTAGAAGCTTCTCCTGAATGTTCTCTAACGATTCCCTCAAAAAATTGGTACCCCAAGGTCTCACCTCAAATGCATCAAACCAACCAATGGGAGACCTACAACTCCTCCCATACAATGCCTCAAATAGGGCCATGCCAATACTCGAGTGATAGTTATTGTTGTATGAAAACTCTGCCAAGGGTAAGAAATGATCCCAATGACCACCAAAATCTATCACACACGCATAAGCATATCCTCGAGCACTTGAATTGTTTGCTCAAACTATCGGTCTAAGGGTGAAATGCGGTACTAAGATCCACTCTAGTACCTAATTCAGCCTGCAAGGTCCTCCAAAAGTTAGAATTAAATTGCGTACATCTATCTGATATGATGGAGATTGAAAATCCATGCAATCGAACAATCACGCGAATATAAAGTGTTGCTAACTTCTCTGCATTATGAGTCACCTTGATCGGAATAAACTGAGCAGACTTAGTTAACCTATCAACAATTACCCATATAGAATCAAACTTACTCAATGTTCTTGGAAGACCAACCACAAAATCCATTGCAATTCTTTCCCACTCTTATTCAGGAATGGGCATTCTCTTAAGTGTCCCTACAGGCCTCTGATGTTCATATTTTACATGCTGAAAATTTGGACATTGGGCAACAAATCAACAATGTCACGCTTCATTCTACTTCACCAATAATGCTGTCTCATATCACGATACATCTTGGTTGCACCAGGATGTATAGAATACCTCGAACTATGAGCCTCTGCAAGAATAGTATTAGTCAAATAATCATCACGGGCACACATACCCGCCCCTTAATTCTCAATACGCCTTCCTCATCAATCACAACCTCTTTAGCCTTTCCTCGTAATATAATATCTCAAATTCGGCTAAGCTTCTCATCATCAAACTGCTTTCCTTTAATCTTGTCAAGAAAATAAGATCTTGCCTCCACACAGGCCAAGAATCCTCCTTTCATAATTACTTAAGGTCATTAGCCAGAGTTTGAACCTCTCTAGCTAATGGGCGTCTAGAAGCCTGTAAGTGGGAAAAACTCCCCATGCTCCCTGCTTTTCTACTTAGGGCATCAACCACAATATTAGCTTTACCCGGTTGATATAGAATAGTAATGTCATAGTCTTTCAATAGTTTCATCCATCTTCTCTACCTTAAATTCAATTCCTTCTGAGTGAACACATTTTGTAAACTGCGATGATCTGTATACACTTCACACTTGACCCCATATAGATAAAGCCTCCACTGCTTCAATCCAAATACAACTGCAGCCAACTCCAAATCATGGGTCAGATAGTTACGTTCGTGCACTTTCAATTGCCTTGAAGCATAGGAAATTACATTCCTCTCCTGCATTAGCACTGCACCTAAACCAGAATAAGATGCATCACAATAAAAAATAAAATTCTTACCTTCCACAAGCAAGGCAAGAATCGGTGCAGTAGTCAACAAGGTCTTGAGTTTCAGGAAGCTCTCTTCACACTCATCCGACCATACAAAGGGAATTTCTTGGTCAAGTTGGTCAGTTGGGAATCAATGGAAGAAACTCCCTTAATGAACCGACGGTAGTAGCTAGCTAAACCAACAAAACTCCATACCTTTGAAACATTAGTAGGTCTTCCACAACTCTTCATAACTTCGATCTTAGTGGGATCCACCATCACTCCATCCTTAGAAACCACGTTCCCAAGAAGGACACTAAATCGAGCCAAAACTCACACTTGGAGAATTTGGCATAAAGCCTTTTCTCCCTTAACAACCCCAATACAGTTCTCAAATGCTCTTCATGTTCTTTTCTACTCTTGGAGTAGATCAATATATCATCAATAAATATAATAATGAAGAGATCCAAATATTCATGCTCATGAAAGTAGCAGGGGCATTCATACGCCCAAAATACATTACTAAGAACTCATAATATCCAAACCTTGTTCGAAAAACAGTCTTTGGCATATCCATTGCTCTTATTTTAGTTGATGATAACCTGACCTCAAATCAATTTTTGAGAAGACACAAGGACCCTGTAACTGATCAAACAAGCCATTAGTGCGAGAAATGGGGCACTTGTTCTTAATATTCACCTTATTCAACTGATTGTAGTCTATGCACATCCGAAAACTACCATCTTTCTTCTTCACAAATAAAACTGGAGCACCCCAAGGAGAGGCACTCGGTCTAATAAAACCTTTACCTAACAACTCTTGAAGTTAGGCCTTCAACTCTCTCAACTCAGCCGGGGCCATTCTGTAAGGTGGAATGGAAATGGGGTGAGTCCCCGGCTCTAGGTCAATACAAAATTTAATATCCCTATCTGGTGTCATACCAGGCAGGTCTCCAGGAAAAACATCAACAAACTCACGAACTATCAAAACAGACTCGATCGAAGGCACTTTGGAAGTATCATCCCTGAGATGTGCCAAGAAAGCTGAACAACCCTTACTCACCAACCTCTTAGCACAAAGAAAAGAGATGATACGAACTGGGTCAGGAACATAGTCACCCTTCCATACCAGCGGATCTATCCCAGGCTTGGCCAAAGTCACAGTCTTAGCATTACAATCTAAGATAGAAAAATTTGGAAAAAGCCAAGTCATACCTAGAATTACATCAAATTCAACCGTCTCCAGAATAATCAAATCTACATAAGTTTTGATCCCCACAAAAGTTATAAGGCAAGAACACCTTCTCAACTAACACAGACTCACCAACAGGAGTAGAGACACAATAGACATGTCAAGCAAGTCACAATGCAAATCAAGTCCATTAGATAATAAGGAAGATACATAAAAAAATGTGGATCCAGGATCAAACAATACAGAAGCCATGCGATCATAGACCAGAAGAGTACCTATGATAAAAGCATCAAATGCCTCTACCTTTGGCCTCCTGGGGAAAGCATAACAATGGGCTTTATCACCTGTCTGTCTATTTCCCCTACTGGGATGCGCTCCAGTAGTTCCAATCTGCCCGCCACCCCGGCCAAATTGGTGACCACCATTACCTTGGCCACCACGTCCTCCAGAATGACGACCTCTACCATGACCACCCCTTCTTCTAATTGCTGGAGATCTATAACTATGATCACACCAAGCCCGACTCTACCTCAGATAGTATTTACCAATATGCCCAGCCTCACCACATCTATAGCAAGTCTTGGAGTCGAGAGTAGGTCTTTGTGAAGACGAAAAAGACTGAAGATAACCCCCAAACTCAGAAAAAGGTTGACTGGTCGGTGACGGACCCTCAGCTGAAACCTGTAATGAAGACTGAATAGGACGGGGTGGATAACCCCTAGAACTCTGCCCTCTGGAGTAAGAACCACTAAATGCACCTCCCTTATGGA